CCCTCTTATCCTTGATATGCCTAGAGACAGGGCCAAGGACAAGTTGTTCCATCACTTTTCTAGGGATGGAGATGAGGCTACCCAGTCTGTAGTTACTTGAGTCCTCCTTCTTGCCCTTTTTGATGACCGGAGAGACATTTGCTTTCTTCCAGTCCTCAGGCACCTCTCTTATTCCCTACAACTTACCAAAGATGATGGAGAGTAGTCTAGCAATGACTTCCACCAGCTCCCTCAGCACCTGCATCCCATCAAGACCGATGGATTTATGTATGTCCAGATTGCTTAGCTGATCCCTAACCAAGTCCTCATCAACCAAGGCAAACTACTCCTTTATCCTGACTTCCTCTGGGGCCTCAGAGGTCTGGGGCTCCTGAGGACAGTCTCCAGCAGTATAGACAGAGGCAAAGAAGGCATTCAGTAACTCTGCCTTCTTTACATCCTCTGTCACCAGGGTACCCACCTCATTCAACAGTGGGCCTGCATTGCCTCTAGTGTTAGTTTTGTCTGCACATTATTAATCATTGCTGGTTATCATTTCCAGAAATCACGTCAGGAACGGAGGAAAGCATTGACTCAAGCTAGTATCTATTAGTTAATTATTTCATCCTCAAGCATTTCCTACAGGATGATAATTATTCAGTTACAGTGTTTGGCTGACATGGCAGTTACATGCCATGTGTTCCTCCTGACTCACCTGCATTTTGCCTGACTGCTGCTCCTCCTTCTTCTTCTCCCCGCTCGCTGCAATTGTTGCAAAGTACTGGATGACACGCTTTGTGTTCACAGTCTTCCCTGCACCGGATTCTCCGCTGTCAAACCAACAAGAGAAGCAGAGAGCTGTGGTCAGGCAGGAGGTCCCCTGGCACCGGGCAGCCCCGCGGGGATGCGAGCAGGGGGTGTACATACGTGATCAGGATTGACTGGTTCTCACGATCTGTGAAAGAGGCAGAAACAGAAAGATTATTAATCCATATCACGAATATCTCAGATAAAAATATTGCTGGGACTTTTAGATGCACTAACATTAGGCAGTTAATTCCTTTCATAATACTATGTGCCTTCACCCCTAAATCCTTTTGAACTTTTTAAAGTTCCCAGCTGTAGCTAGGAAGCTGACATGTCAACACTGATGTGGATATCAATTTTAGTGTACACGCTTCTTTTTTGGATATTCTCTTCACATCAAGCTGTTCATTTTCTTTCTGAAAAGGATTCCAACTAAGAAGTGTTTTTGTTGAGTTAGTGAATAGTGGAATTATCTGTAGGCTGAAGTGAACTGGAGCAGATGCTTCTCGTAAACTGTGTAACATAGGAACAAACACTCCTGATCAGTCCATAGGCTCCCCTAGATCATTTTTCTGTCAGTGGCCAAATGATTGTTGCCCAAAGAAAACGACAGAAACATCACAAGCATGTAGTAACCTTTTACCAGAATATTCTCCCATACTCTAGAATATTGAAAATTGTGTACTTCCAAAGCTAGATTTGATGGTTTTATGTGTAATAGCTTGGCCTGACTTTGCTTTCTGCAATTTTGTCTGGTTGCTTTTTAAACTCATGCTTAGTTCTTTTTGCGTTTCTTCAATTTTTATCATCTAGTCTGATACATTTTTGAAGCACTTACTGTGGGATAAAATATGGTTGGTGCTGAGCTTCGTTCTTCAGGTACTCTTTCCTTGTCTATTAATCTTCTCTATGCCATGCACAACTTTATAAAATAGCAGAAATTATTTCTATAGAGTTACCTGAACAGATGTCCTGCCACACCTTTGGGAAATTTTTTAATCTTTGTTTTGACCTGTTCCATTTCTACTATATTCTTTTTTAAAAAGGAAGGGCAGAAAAGCATATAGTACAGACATTCCTTGGGTAACCACCATGCTATAATGATGTTTTCTGTTTTGGTCTCTGTTTCTTGCTCAGTGATCTCCACCTTTCGACTTGTTATCTTGTAGATTTCTGGTCATTGAGCCAAAATATTTGAAGCTGTATTAAAAGATATCTCTAACAGAAGCAGTAATTGTCAGCAATAAGCCCATCTTTTGGGCAGTAATTTCTGATATTGATTGTTAGAAACATGATCTCAATGATAGTGTTCAGTAAAGAAAATATTTCCAATAATGATAGGACATCCACCTTCCCAACACCATTAAACTGAACTATTTTACAGTGAAAAGACTTTTTGTCTCCTCTGCAAGTGTTCACAGACAAATAGTTTTAAAGAAAACCAAAAAACTCACCAGTCAGCATGAACTGATAGGCGTTGTCAGAGATGGAGAAGATGTGTGGAGGGGCCTCCTGGCGCTTCTTGCCTCGGTAGGCCAACACCACCTCCGGGTTGTACACCGGCAGCCACTTGTAGGGGTTGACAGTGACCCAGAAAAGGACGGGAAGGGAGACAGCACGTTGGCTTCCGCTCCGCCTGGCAGAGCAGTTCCTGCTGGCTGCCCAAAGGAAGGCTGCTGCTGGTACTTACGTAGATCATCCAGGCTGCGTAACGCTCTTTGAGGTTGTACAGCACAGCGGGTTCATGGAGGTGGGTCATCATGGCCATGTCCTCGATTTTATCGTACTTGGGAGGGTTCATGGGGAAGATTTGATCTTCCTTCACAGTCAGGGTCTGTCAGATCAAGAAAGAGATGCCTGTGTGTCAGCTAAGAGCTGAGACTGGGAATTACATACAGTTTTCGGGACTTGATTTTTACTCACTTCTCCTGCTTCAGATTTGACAGTGACCTTCCCTGATTCTCGACTCTGGATTGTCCCTTTCACAAAGGATTCCTTAGGATGGGCGGCGAAGACCGATGTCTTGGCATCAAAAGGCTTGTTCTGGGCCTCAATTCTCTCCTTTTCTGACTTTCGGAGGTAAGGAGCCGCCTCCCCAAAGGCGGCCATCTCAGAGTCTGGAGTAGTCATGTCTGCACTCTATTGAAAGTACGTCAGCAGAGAACCCTGTGGGACAAAAGAAATATACCATCAATAGATCATTAAGGTACCTTGATTGCAAGGAGACATTTTCCAATGTTTTAAAATTAAACATATACTAGAATTGCTAAAACTAGCAAAACTAGCCTTCCTCCTGTTTAATGATATAAACTCAGAAGAGAAAAAAACTTGTTCTCATCCTTGAATAATACAGAATAACCTTATAAAAATTGCTGTTATTTGTGTCCTGTGACACTGTTCAGGTTGTACTTTGACTTTTCAGATTGTACAGTGTCATATTTGAGAATATTAATTATGTTAAAGGAACATTTTTGCTCCTATGTAAAATTAAAAAAAAATACAAATAGAAAATATTCAGATGCCTTGAAAGCAGATGAAAAAACTTATTTGGAAACCAGTTTCAGAGGGAAGAATATACTGTATACTATGCAATAAAAGGGGATGTCTAATTGCACTACACCCAGCACACTTACCTTGAAACTTTTCTTGGAGACAGGGCAGAGTGCTGCAAAGACACTTTTATAGAGTCTGGTTGGCAGATGCCCTGGATTCCTCCTCTTTCTTCGGTCAAAACATTTTTTGGCAAACATTCTTTGGCAAAGCATTGTCTGGCAAACTTAACTAAGGGCATAATTGTCATTTGATTTGATCAGATATATTTAGAAATATTTTGTGTATTACCAATGATGTGAATGTATCGACTATAAATAATTTGACAAGAGACTTAAGGAGAGAATCTCAATTAGTCAAGGCACTTGGAGAACGTAGATGCAGGACACGGATTCTGCTGCTGCATTTCCAGTGATTTTCTCCTGGACTCAAGGCAGACTTTTACTGCATGTCTGTGCTGCAATACTTCCAGTTGCGTTGTGTGAATAACATTAAAGTTTTCCACATGATGTTCTGAGGTTAATGAAGAAATGCATTAAGGGCAGTAGATAAAATGTGTGAAAAAAGCTAAAATGTTCTTACTAAATGAATTTAACTCCTCTGTTCATCTAACAAAGAAACAAAATATGTTATAGTCCAAATTCCTACATGGGACGTTCTTGGGAAATGAGATGCAGTTCAAGACAAAGAAAAAATTACATTTATTTTCTAAACATTCCTGTTGAAAGATAAGGTACACACAAAAATGCATTCAGTAGAGAGCTAAATAAACCTAAATGTGTAATATTTAGTGACAAGCGGTAAAGTAATTAACAAATTTTTTACTGCACCTCAACCTTTATTAAAGACTTTTAAGAACCTGATAGAGGCAAAAATGAAAAGTAATCTTCTTAACAATTTAAGCCAGTTCCTCACATATGTAACCACCATTAACATAAATCAAGCAGTGTCCTCAGACAAGT